AAAAAAAAAGGGGGGGGGGGGAATCCAGCTGGGAGTCTATTGTTTCCACCAAAAGATGGCGCGGCTAGTGTTCCTTGTGTAATAGTGGGTTTAGTGCGGGGAAAACAGTTTTGTCCCCTCACGAAAAAAAACAACAACTTTAGATTGTAAGTCGGTCGAAAATGCCACCCCTCAAACTCGATGTATGGGAGAAAAGTGCCGTCCGGGGGGACTGTCCCCTGTGCCCCCCCCCATCTTTTACGCTAGTATGTAATGTTGATGGGGGCAAGGGAAGTTAAATGGTTCCCATCAGTAACAAAATGGCGACCCTATCTGTTTCAATTTTAGCCCAACAGGCCGTGTATGGAAGCAGACCTTTTAATCCCGTCTAAGCACAGCAGTACATGGGTCAGACACTAAACACCTTATACATTTATCTTCTTATTTGTGTCTCAGTGGTGTCATAATAGTAATGTAGTGTCTTAATAGTGTCATAATAGGGGCAATATAGTGTCATAATCGTATCATTATAGAGTTAATATAGTGTCGTAACAGTGTCTGAATAGTGTCATAACAACGTCTCAATAGTGTCCAAATAGTGTCACCAAGGTGTCATAACAATCTCATAGCAGTTTTAATATAGTGTCATAATACTCACTCAATAGTGCCATAACAGTGTAAATATAGTGTCATAATATTGTCATATTTCATTATAGTTTTAATATAGTGTCTCAATAATTTCATAATAGTGTCTCAGTGTCGTAGTATTTGTCTCAATAGTGTCATAATGGTGTCATAATAGTTTCATAACAGTGTCATTTTATTACCTCATAAGTGTCATAATACCTTCTGGGATGATTGTCTACCTTATTTTCCAGTTAATGCATAATGGTTGTGTTGCTCCTGGTTGAAATGGCTAGAAAGACTTTGACATTGTATGCTTGTAATTAGTTTTTGTAGTGTTGCGTTTGTTTTAAATGTGGTAGCTTATAGATATGTTTTTTGTTGACTTTGTACCGCGCTTCGAGCCTTTGGGGATGAAGCGTGTTTTTGAAATGAACTTTATTATTATTATTATTATTATAGTATCTCTAGTATCTCAGCGTCATACTAGTGTCTCAATCGTGTCAAAATAATATTAATATAGTGTCAAAGTAGTGTCTCAATCGTGTCATAATACTATCAATATAGTGTCAAAGTAGTGTTGCAATTGTGTCATAATACTGTCGTAATAGTATCATAATCGTACCATCAAAATGTTATACTAGTGTTAAAGTGGTATCATAACGTCCCAAACTGATCACAAGTGTCATAATAGGGTTAAGCAGACTCCATTCCCAAGTGTGCGTCCAGAAAGGAAGCGTCTGACATATATGGCCTAGTAAAGGTTACTGGAAATTTGATCGAACGGAAATTGGTCAAATCTTTTTTTTTTTTTTTAAATTCACACGTTACAATTTTCGTCAAATTTCTTTTTGAACGCTCTATACTTAATAGTAAAACAAAATAATGCGTTCAAAAATATATTTGAAGCAAAATTTTAACGTAAAAACTGAAGAAAAATAAGGTTCGATCAAATTTCCGTCGATGAATTTACCGTCGACGAAACTTCTTTCGATCAAATTTCCGGATTCGCCTAGTAAATGTACCTCCTTGACAGTTTTTTTTTTTTGTGTGTGCCACATTCTACTCACTGACAGGCTCTCATCTAGCTCTTGGTCCACCTTTCCAGGGCTCACTATATCAGGGATTCTTAACTTGGGGTGCGTGTGGGTGGGGGGGGGGGTGCATGTGTCAGAGGGTGCGAGAGGCGT